AGGAAACTGAAGAAGGGAAAGGACTTAATGCTGAGACCACAGGATGAGGCAGCAGGAGCATGCTGCGCTTCATTCATACGATCATCGTTATTTAAGACTGTGCACTACACCTGTCAGCTACTGAGGATGTACAGATGAACCTGGCCCTGACTTCACGGGAGCTCAGTTTGCTGGTGAGGGCAGACAGACAAACACGATCACAACCGAAACAGAGACAAGCTCTTCAATGGTGACACAAGGTAGTAGGTAGCTGTTGTGGCAGGGGTAACGGCAGCTTGGTGACCAGTACTAACGAAGTATGTGTTGAGTGGAAGACTGGAAAGAAGAGGAACAGATGGTCAGGTGGACACCCATGGAAGAAAGGAGATTCTAAGCAGAACCAGTGACCACCAAAGCCACAAGTGTGCAAATAGCACCAGCATTTGGAAGCACAGGCCTGGGGGAGAGAGGAGGTTGACAGACCCATGCCAAGAAGAGTCCTGCCTTAAAGCAGCAGCTCCCTGACTCCCCTCTCCACCACCACACTCCCTCCAGCCCTAGTACCCCTGTCTTCCACGCTGCTGCTCCAGAGACTTGTTCCCACACCTTTCATTTCCAGAAACTTCAAACCCAGAGTTTAACCACGACAATGAAGACTTTTCTGCCCTGCATCTAGATTTAAAAAATGAACATTTTACCATTAAAAGTTTTTTTTTTTTCTCTCTCTCTCTATATATATTTTCTTTTTAATTTCTTTCTTTTTTTTTTTTTTCAGACAGGGCATTGTTCTCTCGCATCAACTGGAGTGCAGTGGCGTGATCTTGGCTCACTTCAGCCTCCACCTCGTGGGTTCAAGCAATTCTCTTGCTTCAGCCACCTGTAGAGCTGAGGCTACAGCCCTGCACCACCACGCCCAGCTAAATTTTGTAGTTGTAGAAGAGACAGGGTTTCACCATGTTGTCCACGCTGGTCTTGAGCTTCTGGCCTCACGTGATCCGTCAGTCTTGGCCTCCCACAGTGCTGCGATTACAGGTGTGAACCACCGCACCCAGCCCTATATTTGGTTTTAATTTCTACTGAACCATCTGAAAGTAGAGTTTTAGGCCGGTCGCAGTGGCTCACGCCTGTAATCCCAGCACTTTGGGAGGCCAAGGCGGACAGATCACGAGGTCAGGAGATCAAGACCATCCTGGCCAACACGGTGAAACCCCATCTCTATTAAAAATACAAAAAAATTAGCTGGTTGTGGTGGCGCACACCTGTAGTCCCAGCTATTCAGGAGGCTGAGACAGGAGAATCGCTTGAACCCGAGGGCAGAGGTTGCAGTGAGCCGAGATCCCCAGCCTGGATGACAGAGTGAGACTGCGTCTCAGGAAAAAAAAAAAAAGAAAACAAAAAAGTAGAGTTTAGACATAATGATACTTCTCCCGTAAATCCTTCAGCATGCATCTCCAAAACACAATGACAGAACTACAATGCTATCATCACATCTGAGAAAAACAATTATTCCATCATATCTAATATCCACTCCCTATTAAAATGTCCCCAGTTCTCCCCAAATTGTCTTTCATTGTTCTTTTGGGTAGGGGAATGGGGGCAAACAGGGAGGGATTAGGATCCAGTCAAGGTTTGTGTTATAGAGCTCTTTCTATTAAGAAAATGAAGACAATGATAGAATTCTTTAGACGTGTGGCTGGGCACAATGGCTCACACCTATAATCCCAGCACTTTGGGAGGCGGAGTGTGGGAGGACTGCTTGAGGCCAGGAGTTCGAGACTAGCCTGGAGAACAGAGCAAGACCTCCCTCCTACAAAAAACTCAGCAGCCAGGTGTGGTGATTCATGCCTCTAATACCAGTACTTTGGGAGGCCGAGGTGAGAGGATCACTTGAGGTCAGGAGTTTGAGACCAGCCTGGGCAACATGGAGAAACCCCATCTCTACTAAAAATGCAAAAATTATCCAGGCATGGTGGTGCACACCTGTAAGTCCCAGTTACTCAGGTGGCTGAGGCAGGAGAATTGCTTGAACCTAGGAGGTGGAGGCTGCAGTGAGCTGAGATCGCACCACTGCACTCCAGCCTGGGCAACAGACTGACACTGTCTCAAATAAATAAATAAATAAATAGCAGCTGGGCACGGTGGTGTGGGCCTGTAGTCCCTGCTACTTGGGAGGCTGAGATGGGAAGAACCCTTAAGCCCGCAAGGTCAAGGCAGCAGTGAGCCATGATCATGCCATTAAACTCCAGCCTTGGCAAAGGGCAAGACTCTACATCTAAGGAAAAAAAAAAAATCCTTTAGTCGTCCCCTTCACTAACAGGTCCGAGCCCACATTCTTCATAGGAATCCAGACGAGTATTGCTGAGGGTTGAGCTAGGGCAGTGGCGATGGAGAGGGTGGATTCAAGACATACTAGAGGCAGAACTGACAGATTTGGTAAATGATAGATGGCGGGAAAAAAGACGGATGGGCTTGGGGAAGACAGTCTGGCTTCCGGCCTGGGCCACCACATGGAAAATGTTTCATGACTGAAGAAAAAGTATCCAAGAGAAGCAGGCTTCGTGGAAGGAAGAGGAGTTAAATCCTGGGTACAGCAGTGTTTTGAGCACCTGTGAGACATTCAACGTCCAGGAAGCGGCTGGGGATTCCAAGTTTGCTGCTAAGCAGCGCTAAGTGAAATATGCTGGCTAATGTACAGGCAGGGATGAGGCTCCCAGGAGGATGCCCCTCTTGCTTGCTGAAACTGATCCGGCAAGGTCACCCACAACACCCCTGTTGGCAAATTCTGTTTTCTTCCATCATTTTACCTAACCCTTTGGCAGCAGATGGCACTCCCTCCCTCCTCCTGGCCACTGTAATATAACAATGACCTAGCCAGTTCCCCCTCCTACATTCAACCTGTATATGTTGCACGTCCCAGGGCTTGCTTTGCAGGCCTTCACTCGCCACAGTCACGCCTCAAGCAATCTCACACATTCTGATGGTTTTTTGTTTTATTTTGGAGACGGTCTGGCTCTGTCACCTAGGCTGGAATGCAGTGGCATGATCAGCTCACTGCAACCTCCACCTCCTAGGTTCAAGCTATACTCCCACCTCAGCCTCCCAAGTAGCTGGGACTACAGGCGCGTGCCACCATGCCAGGCTAATTTTTGTATTTTTTGAAGAGATGTGTTTTGTCATGTTGCCAGGGATGGTGTCGAACTCCTGAGCTCAAGCGATCAGTCCAGTTCGGCCTCTCAAAGTGCTGGGATTACAGCCTGAGCCACTGCACCTGGCTTCCTATGGTTTAAAAAGTTTCATTACACAAATTTTTATTTATGTACTTATTTATTATTAGGGACAGAGTTCCACTATGTTGCCCAGGCTGGTCTCAAACTCCTGGGCTCAAGCAATCCTCCTGCCTCAACCTCCCAAAGTGCTGAGATTACAAGTGTGAGTCACCGCGCCCAGCCTTTATTGTGAAAAATGTAAACCAAATATGAAACAGTATAATGAAATCCATGTGTCTATTAACATTTAGCATTCCTATATACTGACAACTCCCAAATGTTACCTGTAGCCCAGACACCTCCTTTGAGGAGTCATATAGCCAACTGTCTGTTTGCTTTTCCACTTGAATAGCACACAGCCTTCACAAACTTTACCAGGTCCTAAACTGCTCTGAATTCTTCTTCCCCAGCGCTCCTGAATTACTGGTAAGCTCCCGGATGGTCTTGCATGCCTTATTCACTGACGTCTCTCAACAGTCAACAGTGCCTGACACTCATATTTGGCAGAACAAACAACTCTCAGCAAACTCTCAACTCTCAGTGCCAGCGTCCATTCAGCTGGCCACGACCCTTATTTCTGCCCCCTCTCCCAAGTCAGACTCATCTTTTTAAAAAGATCAGGCTGGGCATGGTGACTCACGACTGTAATCCCAGCACTTTGGGAGGCTGTGACAGGTGGATCACCTGAGCTCATAAGTTCGAGACTAGCCTGACCAACATGGTGAAACTCCGTCTCTACTAAATATATAAAAATTAGCCGGCTGTGGTGGTGCATGCCTGTAATCCCAGCTACTTGGGAGGCCGAGGCAGGAGAATCACTTGAACCCGGCGGAGGTTGCAGAGAGACAAGACCGTGCCATTGCACTCCAGCCCAGGCAACAAGAGCAAAACTCCGTCTCAAAAAAAAATAATAAACCATGTTATTGAGAGCTCCCTGGCCCATGGTGAGTTTAACACACAGTTCCCTTGGTAATTTAAACTACCTAAAGCAATGAATATGAGAAAGTAACTCTGGGTAAGTTAGGATAGGCTTTGCTGTTTGAATGTGGAAAATAGCACACGCAAACGTCAAGGTGAAATTTGGACAACCAAACGTCCAATCCACTGAAGTTAGAGGAAAAAAAAAAAGAAGTTTACACAAGAGCCCCACGCCTGAACACTTAGTGCTGGTAACTCTAAGTACTTTTAGATCCACGGCCGGCTTTAAATTTCAAGTCAAAGACGTGAGTGCTTTGACCTCCTCCAAGCGTTGACTTCCCCCTCCCTCCGCGTAGGGCTGGCCCGGGACCATGCTTTAAGCTTTTATATCCTACTCACAGCACCTCAGAGGCCAGGGTCACCAACGTCCTCAGCAGAGGCGGCCACCCAGGCTTGGAGCAGCCTCCGGCGGGGACCCAGCAGGCGGCGTCTGGGGCCTGCGGCCTCAGGCGCGCGCTGTCCCTGTCCCCGGCCCCGGGTTGCGCCGGTCAGGGCCCTGCAGGCCAGGCCAGCGCCGCGGGGAGGATGTGGCCTCCGCGCCAAGCCTCGGGCGCCTTCTCGGGCGAGGGCGGAGCTGCAGCGCGGCCCGTCCCCGCCGTGACCTTGAGCCCGAGGGCGCCCCGACCCGGACCTAGGTCTGGCCCCACCGCCCCGAGACCGGGCGGCCACCCGCGGTGGGGACAGGGCCGGGGCGGAGACCCGCGCCTGGAAACCCCGCGCCCTCCGCCTCCCGGCGGCCCCTCCCCGACAGCTCCCGGAAAGGGCGGCGCTGCTCACCGGAGCCTGGGCAGGAGGCTGCAGGGGGCCGCCCGCCGTAGGAGGCCACCGGCCCAGGCCGCTCCGCGAGCGCGTAGCACTCGCGCCGCCATCTTGCTCGGCGCCTCGGCTCCCACCACCCGGGCGCCGCCGCTGACGCCGCCGCCGCGCGACCCCTCCCCCGGCCGGGCCCCGACGCGGCCACTGCAGTGCGGGGCGCGGCCGCCAGGGGGAGCAGGGCGCCCGGCCGCGGGGGTCGGCTGGTTGTCCCGGCGCCGAGGTCCGGCCACTGCGGGAAAGCGCGAAGCCCAAGCGCAGTCAGTGCAAGCCGATCACTTCCAGCGAGAGGAGTTCGGTGCCCAGAAGCGCGGGTGCAGAAGGGACTAGGGCATAGCTTCAGTGATCAGGGAAAACTCCACAAGGAAAGAGTAACACTGTGCCTAGGGGAATCCAGGTCCTGGGGCGGGGCAGCGGCAGTGGAGTTCCCCCCACACCACCCCGCCAATATCTTTTAAATTTTGTAGTATAGGAATATGTTGTCATTTCAAAAAGCCCCACAACGCTCCAGCCTGAGCAACACAGCGACATCCTGTCACAAAAAAAAAAAGAGAGAGAGAAAGAAAGAAGGAAGACAGGGAAGGAAGGAAGGAAAGGAAGGAAGGGAAGGGAAGGAGAAAGAGAAAAGAAAAGAAAGTGTAGCAGGAGGAGCCACAGACAAAGCTCCTCAGACACCGGATTAGAGAAGGAAGAGGTTTTTTATTCGTCCGGGAGCCTCGGCAGACTCACGTCTTAAGCGCGGAGCGCCCCAAAAAAGAAATACTTGGCCTTTTTAAAGGCTTACAACTTTAAGGGGTCTATGTGAAAGGGTCGTGACAAATAGAGCAAGCGTGGAAAACGTGACTGGGGCCTACATAAATCAGCTAACAGAACAAAAAGTTTTACAATGGCTTTTTCATACAGTGTCTGGAATTTACAGATAACACAAGTAGTTTAGGTCAGGGGTTGATGTTGTTAGTATTACTTTTTTTAACTCCTAGGGCTGGGTGGTGGTGCCAAGGTTGTCTAGCTATTTATCTTACTTTTGTTTCTTTCTCTCTTTCCTCCTGTCGTGTGAACTAGGCAAGGTGGGGGGAGGAGGGCAGCAGGAGTAGTAGTGGTCTCCTTCCTTAAAAGAAAGTGAGGAAGAAATTTTAACCACACACATACATACAAAAAAAAATTAAGGAGAAAGGACTGGGAGGGTTCTCTTTAGGTCTTGGGACGGCATCATTCCCATTCATTTCAGCACCGGTGGGCACTGGCCATGGGAGTCCTTGGTACCTACCCTCAAGGCCGTCCGGGTCTAGTGGTGACAGAATGACAATGATGATTGGACCGAGTGTGTTGTAAGCATCAAGATGGACAGGTTCATGAGACGTGAAAGAGGCACGGAAAGAGAGCATGTAACCGGGGGTGGCTGTGAATTAGAGGATAGATGGGGAAAAAGTTCCCCAAGGAGCTGGCAGGACATATCAGTCCCAGGGAAAGAAGGGAGGGCATCCCTGGCTGAGGAAATAACTTAAGCAAACGTGTGGATCTGGGTGGCTGACACTGTAGAGGGAAAAATGTATCCTCCAGGAAGACAAAAAATAAAAAATAAAAAAAAAGCTACAAATGTAGTCGGGCCCGGTGGTTCATGTCTGTAATCCCAGCACCTTGGGTGCTTGGGTGGGGGAGGCAGGCGGATCACCTGAGGTCAGGAGTTTGAGACCAGCCTGGCCAACATGGTGAAATCCCATTTCTACAAAAATACAAAAATTAGGCATGATGTCGGGTGCCTGTAATCCCAGCTACTCGGGAGGCTGAAGTGGGAGAATCGCTTGAACCTGGGAGGTGGAGGGTGCAGTGAGCCGAGATCGCGCCACTGCACTCTATCCTGGGCCACAGAGTGAGACTCCATCTCAAAAAAGAAAAAGAAAAAGAAAAAAGCCACAAATATAACCATGAATACTGCAACCAAGGCGAGGGCAGGAGGAAGGGAGCTGGACCCTGGGGGTGGGGGAGAACCCGGGAGGAATAAGGGCTCTGGCCACCAAAGGGAGCCATTTCCAGGCCCGTGTGGGGCTGCAGAGGCAGAGAGGAAAGTGCCCTCAGGACTGGGTTGTTTGGAGGTCATAAGGTGGGTAGGAACTGGGAGGTTCCCTGAAGCTGGTAATCTTGGGGGCCAAGGGAGTATCAGGGTTCAAAGGGTGCAGTTTTCTGACTGGGGTAGAATTTGAACATGTCAATATGGTCAGGAGCCACCAGAGAGGACAGAGGTGGACCCTGTGGATGTAGGAGGGCTTTATCCCAGAGCAGGGAGAGGCACCTGTCCCTTGGAGGCCAGTGGGATGGAGGCCAAGGAACACAAGGATAGGAGGCCAGAGGCTGTGTGGCTGAGGACCTCCTGGCCTCAACTAGTGTATGCTTAGTAGAACGGTGGAGAACCCTGTAAGAAGTACTTTTTAAGTGGTCCATTTTCAAAAAACAGGCGGGCAAGTCTGGGCAGCTCCCTTTCGGATGTGACAAGCCGCACGGTACAGACATCTGGGAAGAGTAATAAAACTCACAGAAGTCAGAGGGGAGGGAGAAAAGTGGCGGGGGTGGCTAATCCATAAAAGGAAAGAAAGCTTTGCCACTGGGAAATGGAAACTTCAAGTAGGGAAGGGGACAAGATATAACCTAATAAGGGGATAATGAAACTTAGGTGATGTCCAGGAAGACTGCAACCCTATATTACTCAGCCTGTGAGGAACCGGGGGAGGGACCTGTGCTCTAGGGGATAAATTGCTTGTTGAAACTGCACTGGGTGTGCCTGCCCATCACACATCCAATCTTGCAAGACCATTAATAAAAAGTCTCACTTTTGTCCAGGTGACGCGGCTCTTGCCCATAATCCCAGCATTTTGGCGGGCCGAGGCGGGTTCATCACCTGAGGTCAGAAGTTCAAGACCATCCTGGCCAACATGGTGAAACCCCATCTCTACTAAAAATACAAAAATCAGCCGGGCGTGGTGGTGCATGCCTCTAATCCTAGCTACTCGGGAGGCTGAGGCAGGAGAATCACTTGTACCTGGGAGGCAGAGGTTGCAGTGAGCTGAGATCGCACTGTTGCACTCCATCCAGCCTCGGTGACAGATCAAGACTAAGTCTCAAAAAAAAAAAAAAAAAAAAAAAAGTCTTGGCCAGGCGCGGTGGCTCAGGCCTGTAATCCCAGCACTTTGGGAGGCCGAGGCGGGTAGATCACCTGAGGTCGGAAGTTCAAGACAAGCCTGACCAACAGGGAGAAACCCCATCTCTACTAAAAATACAAAATTAGCCAGGCGTGATAGCGCATGCCTGTAGTCCCAGCTACTTGGGAGGCTGAGGCAGGACAATTGCTTGAACCCGGGAGGCAGAGGTTGCAGTAAGCTGAGATCGTGCCATTGCATTCCAGCCTGGGCAACAAGAACGAAACTCCGTCTCAAAAAAAAAAAAAAAAATAGTCTCACTTTCACTGTTCTTCATGCCTCTAAGTCCATTCTTTGGGTTTGGATGGGTGAGTGTGTTTCTCACACTCCAAGGAGAGGGAGAAGTAAGCTCTCTTCAGGGTATCAAGGACTTGGCCCAGCCCTACAGAGCATGAGGCCAGGCCTCTTTAAGGGTGGATGAGCTCCTGTGACTGTCACACATGCCCCCATTTTCTCAGCTCTGTTTCGTGAGATACCTGCTTTTAAATTTATTCTGAAATATAGTGTAGCTAGACACTTCTTTGCTGACCTTGCTTTTTTGTTTAGTATTAGGCTGCTTAGCCTGCATTGCTTTTCTCCACTATCATTTTGCCGTGGAGTTCCATTTCCTTCAGGACTTTTCACTGGGGAAAAGGAGGGTACTCCAATTTCACAGCTGTGTGGCTTCAGATATTTGAAGCCATAGAATAAACATAGCAAGTCTTCCTGGAGCATAAGTTTTATACAAAGACTCTCAGGAAAAAGTATATGTTAAAATATAAACAAGTATCCTTTATATGTTAACACTTCAATGGTACTTAAGTATCATTTCTATTTTAATACTTCAATGACACTTAGGTATCACTTATATTTTAATGCTTCAATGGTACTATTTTAATACTTCAATGGTGCTTATACATCATTATTATTTTATTTTTATTTTTATTTTTTTGAGATGGAGTCTCGCTCTGTCACCCAGGCTAGAGTGCAGTGGTGCGATCTCGGCTGACTGCAACCTCTGCCTCTCAGGTTCAAGCGATTTTCCTGCCTCAGTCTCCTGAGTAGCTGGGATTACATGCATGTACCACCATGCCCGGCTAACTTTTGTATTTTTAGTAGAAACAGGGTTTCACCATGTTGGTTAGGCTGGTCTCCGACTCCTGACCTTATGATCCACCTTCCTTGGCCTCCCAAAGCGCTGGAATGACAGGCATGAGCCACCACGCCTGGCCATTATCATTTATATTTTCATCCTTTGATGATACTTAGGTACTATTTATATTTTCACATGCTTTTTATTTTATATTTATACTTTAATTCTGCATTGGTACTTAAACATCATTTATATTTTAACATATTTATAAATGATGATTATTTATAAATGTTTAAATATTTAAACTTCTGAAATATTTTAGAGATGGCTTGGACTCCATCCCAGAGCTGGTGACACATGTGTCACCATATGCTAGGAGCACAACTTGGAGATCCCTGATGCTTTATTTTTAATTTTTTCTACATTTTAAGTTCTGGGATACATGTGCAGAATATGCAGGTTTGTTACATAGATATACATGTGCCATGGTGGTTTGCTGCACCTATCAACCTGTCATCTAGGTTTTAAGCCCCACACGCATTAGGTATTTGTCCTAATGCTCTCCCTCCCCTTGCCCCCAGCCCCCCGACAGGCCCTGGTATGTGATGTTCCTTTCCCTGTGTCCATGTATTCTCATTGTTCAACTCCCACTTATGAGTGAGAACATGTGGTGCTGGTTTTCTGTTCCTGTGTTAGTTTGCTGAGAATGATGGCTTCCAGCTTCATCCACGTCCCTGCAAAGTACATGAACTCATTCTTTTTTATGGCTGCATAGTATTCCATAGTGTATATGTGCCACATTTTCTTTATCCTGTCTATCACTGATGGGCATTTGGGTTGGTTCCAAGTCTTTGCTATTGTAAGTAGCGCTGCAATAAACATATGTGTGCATATGTCTTTATAGTAGAATGATTTATAATCCTTTCGGTATATACCCAGTAATGGGATTGCTGGGTCAAATGGTATTTCTTGTTCTAGATTCTTGAGGAATCACCACACTGTCTTCCACAATGGTTGAACTAAGGTGATCTTTTTCTTAAGCTGCTTATTAGTGATATGTACTCTCAAAGCAAAAACAGCCAATCATGTTATTTTCACAGATGTCAGACTACACAAGTGTTTTTTCAAAATCTCTGGTTATTCCTTGGGTTTCTAACCCTTACCCTCAACTGTGTAGATGGTATTCTGGTGTTTTTTTGAACTTTCTATCACAGAGGAAAAGACAGGGTCAGTCTGATTTTCCTTCAGTTCTAAGTACTTTTCTCAGATCCTGGAATGTTTTAAAGTTTTCCAGCATTTCAATACATATTTTGACAGGATACGTCTTTGTGAGGATCTCTTTTTATAGAACATGATTTTTCTAAAGAAAAAATGTTTTCTATTTTTTTTCATTAGTTTGTTGTTTTTGTTCTACTCTAATCTGAACATTTTATTTTATTTATATTGGAGTTTTAAAATTGAGTCTCGGCCGGGCGCAGTGGCTCAAGCCTGTAATCCCAGCACTTTGGGAGGCCGAGACGAGTGGATCATGAGGTCAGGAAATCGAGACCATCCTGGCTAACAATGTGAAACCCCGTCTCTACTAAAAAATACAAAAAAACCCCAAAAAACTAGCTGGGCGAGGTGGCGGGCGCCTGTAGTCCCAGCTACACGGGAGGCTGAGGCAGGAGAATGGCGTGAACCCGGGAAGCAGAGCTTGCAGTGAGCTGAGATCCACCACTGCACTCCTGCCTGGGCGACAGAGCGAGAACTCGTCTCTAAATAAATAAATAAATAAATAAAAATAAAAATAAAATTGAGTCTCACAGAACTGTCAGTCTCATTACTTCCATTCCTTTATCCTTTTCCTCTACATTCTTAGAGAACTTCTCAAGTGTATTCTTACTATCCCTGATTTGCCTTTCTTTTTTTTCTTTTTTTTTTTTTTTCTTTTGAGACAGAGTCTCGTTCTGTTGCCCAGGCTGGAGTGCAGTGGGGTGATCTTGGCTCACTGCAATCTCTGCCTCCCAGGTTCAAGCTATTCTCCTGCCTCAGTCTCCTGAGTAGCTGTGATTACAGGCGTGTGCCCCCATACCCGGCTAATTTTTATATTTTTAGTAGAGACGGGGTTTCACCATTTTGGCCAGGCTGCTCTTGAACTCCTGACCTCATTATCTGCCCACCTTGGCCTCCCAAAGTGCTGGGATTACAGGCGTGAGCCACCGCACCCGACTGATTTGACTTTTCTACAATATCAGTCTTGCCTCACTTCCGTGTGGATATTTAAATGCTTTTTGATTTCTTACAAATCTTATGTTACATATGATGTTCCCCTCCCTGTGTCCACGTGTATGAAGTTCTCCTCCCTGTGTCCATGTGTTCTCATTGTTCAACTCCCACTTATAAGTGAGAACATGTGGTGTTTGGTTTTCTGTTCCTGTGTTAATTTGCTGAAAATGTTGCTGAGAATGATGGCCAGCTTTATCCATGTCCCTGCAAAGGACATGAACTCATTCTCTTTTTTTTTTTTTTTGAGACGGAGTCTCGCTCTGTCACCCAGGTTGGAGTGCAGTGGTGCGATCTCAGCTCACTTCCTCACTTCAAGCTCTGCCTCCCAGGTTCATGCCATTCTTCTGCCTCAGCCTCCTAAGTAGCTGGGACTACAGGTGCCCGCCACCACACCAGGTTAATTTTTTTTTTTTTGTATTTTTAATAGAGACGGGGTTTCACCGTGTTAGCCAGGATGGTCTTGATCTCCTGACCTCATGATCCGCCCACCTCGGCCTCCCAAAGTGCTGAGATTACAGGCGTGAGCCACCACACCTGGCCTTTTTTTTTTTTTTTTTTGACCAGGCTGAAGTGCAATGCTCACTGCAACCTCCACCTCCCAGGTTCAAGTGATTCTCCTGCCTCAGCCTCCAGAGTAGCTGGGATTACAGGCGCCCACCACCATGCCTAGCTAATTTTTGTATTTTTAGTCGAGATGGGATTTCACCATGTTGATCAGGCTGGTCTCGAACTCCTGACCTTATGACCTGCTCGCCTCGGCCTCCCCAAGTGCTGGGACTACAGGCATGAGCCGCAGCACCCAGCCGAACTCATTTTTTTTTGTGTGGGAGATACCCGATACTTTCCTGTACCCTTCCAGGCTAAGCAGTCCCACAGCCCCACCTGCTGGAGATCTGGACAGTCTAAGATGCTTCCCTTTTTCACTCACCTACCCTGGCACCAGTTCTACCTTGGAACCTGTTATTCAATCCCTCACTGCTGTTATTCAGTCCTTCCCTGCACAACTCAGTTTGGGTCTTAGGACCAGTCTTTGAACTGCAGTCTCCCCATCTCTAACATGTCCCCTTCCAGTCCGTTCTCTACAATCATGCACTTTTATTAAAATGCAAATGCAATTTTATCACTCTTTAAAACGTTCAACCACTATTACTTAGTTACTTTCACCTATTTCTGAGTTCCACCACTGCTGAAAATGTCATAGCAATTATCTGCTTCCAGAAGCCCTGGTTATACTTTCATTCACTTTGTGGATTTTACATTCCCTTTCCTCTGCCTCAAATGTCCTTTCCACCCCATCATCTCTGTCCTGCAGACTCTTGCTTCAACGCTTACTTCTAGCACCAACTCATCTCTCCTGGGAAGTGACCTTCAATTCACCCTCACCCATATCCTGTTTGCCATGGAGGCACCTGTGCATACTTCCCCAGCTAGATTGATCCCTGAGGCGGGCAAGGCCTGTGATCATCCTGGAAACCCTGTGCTGACACAATACATGTATCAAGACTGGGCACGGTGGCTCACGCCTGTAATCCCAGCACTTTGGCAGGCTGAGGCGGACGATCACCTGAGGTCAGGAGTTTATCACGCCTGTAATCCCAGCACTTTGGCAGGTTGAGGCAGACGGATCACTTGAGGTCAGGAGTTTAAGACCAGCCTGTCCAACATGCTGAAACCCCATCTCTACTAAAAATACAAAATGAGCTGGGCATGGTGGCAGGTGGCTGTAATCCCAGCTACTTGGGAGGCTGAGGCAGGAGAAGCGCTTGAACCCAGGAGGCAAAGGCAGGAGAAGCGCTTGAACCTGGGACGCAGAGGTTGCAGTGAGCTGAGATCATGCCATTGTGCTCTAGCCTGGGCAACAGAGCGAAGACTCCATCTCAAAACAAACGTGTATCAGCTAAGATTTAAATATTCCCCTTTTGGCCGGTTGCAGCGGCTCATGCCTGTAATCCCAGCACTTTGGGAGGCTGAGTTGGGCAGATCACCTGAGGTCAAGAGTTCGAGACCAGCCTGGCCAACATGGTGAAACCTCGTTTCTACTAAAAATACAAAAAAAATTAGCTGGGCGTGGCGGTGTACTCCTGTAGTCCCAGCTACTTGAGAAGGCTGAGGCAGAATTGCTTGAACCCAGGAGGCGGAGGTTGCAGTGAGCCAAGATTGTGCCACTGCACTCCAGCCTGGGCAACAGAGACTCCACCTCAAAAAAAAAAAAAAAAAAGAAAAGAAAAGAAAAAGAGAAAGAAAAAAAGAAATACACTGCTCAATGCTTCCTTAAGTCAAAATGTAAGTTATCGTGGTGTATTAATGAATAGCAACAAAACTCACTCTTCATCTCAAATGCATGTGGGAGAAGTCCTACAACTTAATGTGTCAGATTTTAGGAATTTATACCTATTTAATCTAGCCTAGGATATAAGAAAAGTGACACAGAATTATAAAATTTTATTTTCCACACATCAACATTCTTACTAACACAGCTTGATTGAAAGAATTCTGACCATAAGCATGTTATTTCTCTTTGGAACTGGTGAAATCAGAAAAATAAAATATTTATTTTGCCTACATAGGATCAACAATATTCACTTAATGTGGTCTTATCTGTTTATATTAAGAGGCTTTCTTCTGGCCGGGTGCAGTGGCTCATGCCTGTAGTCCCAGCACTTTGAGGCCCAAGGGAGGTGGATCACCTGAGGTTGGGAATTCAAGACCCGCCTGACCAACATGGAGAAACCCCGTCTCTACCAAAAATACAAAATTAGCCAGGCATGGTGGCATATGCCTGTAATCCCAGCACATGCCTGTAATCCCAGAATTACTTGGACCTGGGAGGCGGAGATTGTGGTGGGCCAAGATCATGCCATTGCACTCCAGCCTGGGCAACAACAGCGAAACTCCATCTCAAACAAACAAACAAACATTCTTTCTTCCTTCCTTCAAAATAAAGGTTCTAAGATAAATTCAAAATTCCTTTGAATGAAAATAAGGAAACCGGCTGGGCACACTGGCTCAGGCCTGTAATCCCAGCACTTTTGTAGGCCAAGATGGGCAGATCGCTCCCAGGGCTCCGAGACCAGCCTGGGCAACACAGGGAGACCTTGTCTCTACAAAATTTACAAAAAATCAGCCAGGTGTAATGGCACGCTCCTGTGTTCCCAGCTACTCAGAAGGCTGGGGTAGAAAGATGCTGGAGCCAGGGAGGTCAAGGCTGCAGTGAGCCAAGATTATACCACTGTACTCCAGACCGGGCAACAAAGCGAGACCCTGTCTCAAAAAACAAAAACCTTCTGAAACAGTGAGCTCACAAAATGCAATAGACTGCTAGGCACACTTAGTGTAACGTGGAAGTATGTTCACTGAAATGAAAATTTGAAACATAACCATAAACTTTTATGAAAAACCGTAATATGCCCTTTACTTCATTTGCTTTTAGCTATTTCACGAACACCACAGAGAAATTGGACACAGTTTGTGATGAAACTTAGAAAAATTTCTTTTTCCATAACATAAACATGTCAATTTTCCCCTTTAGCTCCTTCTTCCACTCCCCCTTCACTGTGCTGAAGAGATATTGAGTTCTTCCAGATTTTTGCTTAGCTGGGTGGTTTCCGAACTCAACGGACTCTCCAGGTAGGTAGTTCCTGCACAGGGCTTTCCTGTCACTGGATCTATGACTTTTCCAACTTTGAAAACGATCTCGGCCAGTTCATGTTTCACATGCTTTGCTCGTGGAACAGGTAAAGCTCTGAGAAGCACAATATCCCCAACTGTGCACTGCTGAAGGGCATCGTGCGCAAAGTAGGTTTTCCGCTTATTAAAATACTGTTGAGAGAGGGAGAGAAACAAATCAGTAGTTCCCATCTGTGACCTGGTAATGCAATATGTAATATGAAAAAGTAACGCATGGAAAACAAGCCAGGACTTAGGAAAAGATAAGATACTTAAGGAGTCTTCTAGTACAAAAATTAGAGCCTGATACAGTGACACCCGTTCTCTACTTAAAAAAAAAAAAAAAAAACTGCCAGGCATGGTGACATGCCTCTAGCACCGGCCTCCTAGGAGGCTGACAGGAGGACTGCTTGAGCCCAGGAGTTTGAGGATGCAGTGAGCTAGAATCATGCCACTGTACTCCAGCCTGGGTGACAGTTATCCTGTGTCAAAAACAAACCCCACAAAATTAGCTGCTTAATTTTTGGAAAACAGGATGACATTTCCAGAGTTGATCTTCTCACTAAGCACTCCAGGTCATTCCCTTCAGTACCCTTGCTCTATCAGTTACCATCTCTTCCTATATTGTTTATATTCTTCCTTCCCTGGAGCCTTCCCTCTAGCCTATAAGCATGCTACCCTCACCACTAGCTGTGAGTCACTTAACCACTCCAAGCTCAGCGTTTTCCACGATAAAATGAGGCTCTAATACCTGCACCTCTAAAGTTATCAAGACAATTCAACGTTATAATATACATCAAGCACTTAGCTCTATGCTTAGCTCAAAGTACTGCAAATAAACTACAAATGGTAACTAGAATCACCTATTATACTGATTGACTGATTCATTGACAGAGTTTTGCTCCTGTTGCCCAGGCTGGAGTGCAACGGCACGATCTCGGCTCACTGCAACCTCCGCCTCCCAGGTTCATGAGATTCTCCTGCCTCAGCCTCCCACCTAGCTAGAATTACAGGTGCCTGCCACCATGCCCAGCTAATTATTTTTTTTTTTAGTAGAGATGGGGTTTCACCATGTTGGCCAGGCTGGTCCCTAACTCCTGACCTCAGGTGATCCACCTGCCTCAGCCTCCCGAAGTGCTGGGATTACAGGCGTGAGCCACTGCGCCCGGCCTAGAATCACCTATTCTTTATAACAACCCTGCTGCAGCAGGTATTCCCATTTTACATACGAGGAAAACAAGTTCAGGGAGGTTAAGCAATGTGTGTAGCTGGTAAACAAGAGTCAGTATTCAAACTAAGGTCTCCCAAAGGTCAAGGATCATGCAGTAATTCTTCAGCTTACTCCTGTGTTTCTAATCCTTGATAATGAACAGCATTTCTACCCACCTGTGTGCCGAACTTTGGATGTGAAACCATCCTCGGCACCTATTCGCCCCCTGGCACAGCAAAATCAATGACTCTGTCCTTTCTTCCTGAAATATTTTTTCCACTCCATCCCCACTACATCAACTTTAGTTCAGGTCCTTATTTCCATCCTAGACTTTTGCAGCAGCCTCTCTGCCCATTCCCTTTCCTCCAGTCTTCATCCCTACCCGTGTTTCCAAGCCTGTCTTTCTTTGGGTTCAAGCAGGGATCCCCAATCCTCAGGACAGCAGACTGATACCATTCAGTGGCCTGTGAGGAACAGGGCCGCACAGCAGGAGGTGAGCGGCGTTGAGCCACCATGAGTATTACCACCTGCGCGCCGCCTCCTGTCAGATCAGCAGCGGCATTACATTCCCATAGGAGCACAAACCCTATTGTGAACTGTGCATGGGAGGGGTCTAGGTTGTGCGCTCCTTATGAGAATCTAACTAACTCCTGATGATCTGAGGTGGAACAGTTTCATCCTCCCCCCACCCTGCCTCTGTGGAAAAACTGTCTTCCATGAAACTGGTCCCTGGTGCCAAAAAGGTTGAGGACTGCTGGCTTAAAGGATGAAATCTAGCTACTCAGGAAGCTGATGCATAAGAATTGGTTGAACCAGGAAGTTGCAGTGAGCTGAGATGGCACCACTGAACTCCAGCCTGGGTGACAGAGCAAGACCCCGTCTCAAGAAAAAAATAAGGATAAAATCTAAAACACAAAAGACCCTTCATATTCTAGCCCAACTGTCCTTGTCATTCATTTAAGAATGCCTACTAAATGCCAAGCTCCAGGCTCAATGTTGTCAAACCACTATGTTCCTGTAGAATGTCATGCCCTATCATGGCTAAATGAACTTCCACAAACCACTCATCATAGCTGAAATGACTTCCCCCCACCGAGTCCTTTGGATGAAATCTTTTTTTTTTTTTTTTTTGAGATGGAGTTTCACTCTTGTCACCCAGGCTGGAGTGCAATAGCGTGATCTCAGCACACTGCAACCTCTGCCTCCCAAGTTCAAGTGATCCTCCTGCCTTGGCCTCCTGAGTAGCTGGGATTACAGGCACCTGGCACCACGTCAGGCTATTTTTTATATTTTTAGTAGAGACAGGGTTTTGCCATGTTGGACAGGCTGCCAGGCTGGTCTCGAACTCCTCACCTCAGGTGATCTGCCTGCCTTAGCCTCCCAAAGTGCTGGGATTACAAGTGTGAGTCACTGACCAGCTGGATAAAATCCTTTTTGAGATTCAGCTAAAATGTCCCTTAATCAAGGTTGCTTTCCTACAGCACTCATAGGAGAATGAGATGCTCTGTTCTCTGCTCCCACAGTACTGTTTTTTTTTTTTTTTAAGGCGGAGTTTCGCTCTTGTCCAGGATGGAGTGCAATGCTACAATCATGGCTCACTGCAACCTCCGCCTCCTGGGTTCAAGCGATTCTCCTGCCTAAGCCTCCAGAGTAGCTGGGATTACAGGTGTGCTCCACCATGCCCAGCTAATTTTTGTATTTTTAGTAGAGATGGGGTTTCACCATGTTGGCCAGGCTGGTCTCGAACTCGTGATCCCAGGTGATCCACCTGCCTCAGCCTCCCAAAGTGCTGGGATTACAGGTGTGAGTCACCTCATCCGGCCAGTACTTTGCATACAGAATGACTACAACAGTTAGAGTGGACTGACATTAACTCTGTTTTCTTGGAATGTGTGAACCATGTTATATCCACAGACCAGCAGAATGCCTAGCTCAAAGCAGATGAGAGACAAGACATCTTTAGTGAGAGAGAAATGTTTTTTTGCTCAAGACCAAGGACATGTTGGTGATTTACCAAAGCCACCCGGAAACAAGAATGTTTCTCACCTTTAATAAATAGGGATCCAGAACAAGCCTGGTCACTCTCACTTTAGCAGTCTTCTGCATTTTTGTCCCAATTACCTTCCCCACAATCCATTTGGCATGGACGGATGAACGAACTACAGACATTACTGTGGCTTTGATCACCTGAAAAGCAAATTCCAAAGTCTCATATTCTGGTGGTTATGATGCCAAATGAATTTTGTCACAAGAACTGTCCAAGTTAGTCCAGAAACAGTTTTTTTCTTTTTCTTTTTTGTTCCCCCCTCCACCCAGAAACAGTTTTCTTGGCATTCTTGAATCTCCATTTTATTATTTTTATTGAGATAGAGTTTAGTTCTTTCGCCCAGGATGGAGTGAAAGCAGCCCGATCTCGGCTCACTGCAACCTCCACCTTCCGGGTTCAAGGGATTCTCCTCCCTCAGTCTCCCGAGTAGCCGGGACTACAGGCCCGCGCCACCACGCCCTGCTAATTTTTGTATTTTTAGTAAAGACCGGGTCTCGCCATGTTGGCCAGACTGGTCTCGAACTCCTGACCTCAGGTGATCCGCCCGCCTCAGCCTCCCAAAGTGCTGGGATTAAGAGGCGTGAGCCACCGTGCCCGGCTTGAATCACCATTTTAGAGATGCTTACACGTTCCCCACTACCCAACCTCTCGTCTTTATAGCGCTTACAAAGCGGTAACTTCGCGAAGCCTCACGTTCCCCTTTTGCAAAATGGGCGGGCCTATTTCGCAGGAGTGCTTTGAGAATTTGACCCACAGAACGCTCAATACCACGGATAAACGCTGGCCGTTACTGGTCCCTTATCTCTCTCCACCCCGCTGGGCCTCCTCTTCCGACAGGCTCACTGCCCGGGTAGCACTCGGAGGAGCCGCCGCGGTGTCCCTCTCCCCGCCCCAGCGACGGATGACTTGGGCTGCTTTTGGGATCAGTCCATAATGAGTCCATTCCACCGGGCTTCGGAAAGGTTGGGGTGACTCGTCCCTTCGCCCCGGACAACCCGGAGGTCAGACGACGCCATTCCCTCTCAGGGCTCTCACGCGAGGGTGCCTCGGGTCCCCAGCAACTCCTCCCCCAGCAGCAACACCCCGAGCCCCAGCTCACCTCACCCACTACTATGCAGCCACCTGCCCCAGATAGCGCCGGTCGCAGCGGGATGGCGTCACGCCGTACGCATTGGCTCCGCCCCACACCGCCCCTCTCATAGGCCGTGCGACTCCTTAGCCGCGGACGGAGTTAACGGCAGGACCCGCCCCTCCGGAACTCTCCCTTAAAGGGACCCGGGGCGGTAGCTGTGCGGGGATAGCTGACCTCTCCTTTTCTAACGCGCCCATCCAGCGGACGGTGGAGCAGGAGGTTTCGGACTTTTCTTTTTCATTCTTTTTTTTTCTTTTCTTTTTTTTTTTTTTTTGAGACGGAGTCTCGCTCTGTCACCCAGGCTGGAGTGCAGTGGCCGGATCTCAGCTCACTGCAAGCTCCGCCTCCCGGGTTTACGCCATTCTCCGGCCTCAGCCTCCCGAGTAGCTGGGACTACAGGCGCCCGTCACCTCGCCCGGGTAGTTTTTTGTATTTCTTAATAGAGACGGGGTTTCACCGTGTTAGCCAGGATGGTCTCGATCTCCTGACCTCGTGATCCGCCCGTCTCGGCCTCCCAAAGTGCTGGGATTACAGGCTTGAGCCACCGCGCCCGGCCCTTTTGTTTTCTTTTCTTTTTCTCTTTCTTTTTTTTTTATTTTTGAGACGGAGTCTCACTCTGTCGCCCAGGCGGGTGTGCAGTGGGGCCATCTCTGCTCACTGCAACCTCCGCTTCCCGGGTTCAAGCGATTCGCATGCCTCAGCCTCCCAAGTAGCTGGGATTACAGATTACAGGCACGCGCCACCACGCGCAGCTAATTTTTGTATTTTTAGTGGGGACGGCGTTCCGCCGTGTTGGCCAGGCTGGTCTCGAACTCCTGAGCTTAGGTGATCCGCCCGACTCGCCCCCGCGAAGTGCTGGGATTACAGGCTGAGCCACCACGCCTGGCCTCATTTTTTTTTTTTTTTCTCGTTGTTGTTGTGTCTTGCCCGGTTGCTCAGGCTGGAGTGCAATGGCGATGTGATCGTGGCTTACTGCAACTTGACCTCCTGGACTCAAGCGATCCTTCTACCTCAGCCTCCCGAGTATCTGGGACCACAGGCGCGCCACCATGTCTGGCCAGTATTTGCATTTTTGGTAGATAGGGTCTCGCTGTGTTCTCCAGGATGGTCTGAACTCTCGATTTCAAGTGATCTGCCTGTCTTGGCCTTCCAAAGTGCTGGGATTACAGGTGTGAGCCACCCTGCCTAGCCAGTGCAGATAAATTTCTATCTTACCTTCCTTTCCTGCCTCCTTTCTCCTTTCCGTCCTTTAATTTATTGTCTCTCCTCTCTTCTCTATTGTATTCTGTAATTATTTCATTCTGGAAATCTTTTTTAAAATTTTATATTATTATTATTATTATTATTTTTGAGTAGCTGGGATTACAGGTGTGGGTCACCATGCCCAGCTAATTTTTGCATTTTTAGTAGAAATGGGATTTTCCCATGTTGGCCAGGCTGGTCTCGAACTCCTGGCCTCAAGCAGTCCATCCCACTTCGGACTCCCGAAGTGCTGGGATTACAGGCAGGAGCCACTGTGCCCGGCTGTTTATTTTATTTTCTATGGATGATGTCTTTGAATGAAAAATTTTGTTCCCTTTTGTATTAAAATGTTTAGCTTTACTTTGGGAGGCTGAGGTGAGTGGATTGCTTGAGCTCAGGAGTTCCATGCCAATCTGGGCAACATGGTGAAATATATACAAAAATGTAAAAATTACGCTGGGGGCAATGGCTCAGGCCTGTGATCCCAGCACTTTGGGAGGCTGAGGTGGGTGGATCACCTGAGGACAGGAGTTTGAGACCAGCCTGGCTAACATGGTGAGACCCTGTCTCTACTAAAAAAAATGCAAAAATTAGCCGGGCATGGTGGTGTGCGCCTGTAGTCCCAGCTACTCGGGAGACTGAGGCAGGAGAATCTCTTGAACCAGGAGGCAGAGGTTGTAGTGAGCCGAGATCGCACCACTGCCCTCCAGCCTGGGCGACAGAGTGAGACTCCATTTTAACCACAAAAAAGAAAAAAAAAATTATCCAGGGTTGGTGGTGGCACATGCCTGTAGTTTCAGCTACTCAGGAGGCTGAGGTAGGAGGATCGCTTGAGCCCAGAAGATTGAGGCTGCAGTGAGCACCATGCTCATGCCACTGCACTCCAGCCTGGGTGACACAGTGAGACTCTGTCTCAAAAAATAAAAAAATGTTGGGCCAGGTGCAGTAGCTCACGCCTGTAATCCCAACATTTTGGGAGGCCGAGGTGGATGGATCACAAGGTCAGGAGATTGAGAGCATCCTGGCTAACACGGTGAAACCCAGTCTCTACTAAAAATACAAAAAAATTAACTGGGCGTGGTGGCGGGCACCTGTAGTCCCAGCTACTCGGGAGGCTGAGGCAGGAGAATGGCGTGAACCCAGGAGGCGGAGCTTGCAGTGAGCCGAGATTGTGCCACTGCACTCTAGCTTGGGCCACAGAGCGAGACTTGTCTCAAGAAAAAAAAAAAAAAAAGGTTTTGTTTTCACATTTCTCCCTAGCTGAAATGTTAGAATTATGTAATGTAGGTGTTCACCTAATTATCTGATCCTGAATATAAAAGTACCACACACGGACCTAAGAAATATCCATCTTTATTAGCATACTGGGAGGTTGAGATCTACCTAGAAACATTTTGGTACTCATTGGCAGATATTATTATTATTATTGTGTGTTTTGTTTTTTTGAGTCTCAGGCTGTCACCCAGGCTGGACTGCAGTGGTGCGATCCCAGCTCACCTCAACCTCCACCTTACGGGTTCAAGCAATTGTCCTGTCTCAGCCTCCCGAGTGGCTGGAGTTACAGGTGCCTGCCACCACATCCAGCTGATTTTTGTATTTTTAGTAGAGATGGAGTTTTACCACGTTGACCAGGCTGATATTGAACTCCTGACCTCAGGTGATCTGCCTGCCTCGGCCTCCCAAAGTGTTGGGATTACAGGTGAGAGCCACCGTACCTGGCCTATTATTATTATTATTATTTTTTGAGACGGAGTTTTGCTCTTGTTGCCCAGGCTGGAGTGCAATGGCGCGATCTTGGTTCACTGCAACCTCTGCCTCCCGGGTTCAAGGGATTCTCCTGCCTCAGCCTCCCGAGTGGCTGGGATTACAGGCATGGGCCACCTTGCCTGGCTAATTTCGTACTTTTAGTAGAGATGAGGTTTCTCCATGTTGGTCAGGCTGGTCTGGAACTCCTGACCTCAGGTGATCCTGACCTCAGGTGATCCGCCCGCCTCAGCCTCCCAAAGTGTTGGGATTACAGGCGTAAGCCACTGCACCTGGCCTATTATTAAGATGGAGTTTTTGCTCTGTTGCCCAGGCTGGAGTGCAATGGTACACTCTCAGCTCACTGCAACCTCTGCCTCCTGGGTTCAAGCCATTCTCCTGCCTCAGCCTCCTGAGTAGCTGGGATTACAGGCGTGTGCTCCCATACCCGGCTAATTTTTGTATTTTTAGTAGAGACGGGGTTTCAACTTGTTGGCCAGGCTGGTCTTGAACTCCTGGCCTCAGGTGATTGCCCTGAGTGCTGGGATTACAGGTGTGAGCCACCGCACCCAGCCTCATTCATTATTGGCCTAAAAAATAACTATTTTTTCTTACTAGGTACGAGCATATGTACACACACACATATATGTATGTATATATAGATTTGTTCCTGTTTAACTGTTTAATCAGGAAATAATAAACACAGGGGTGCTAGGCAAGTCCAGTAATCTTGGAAAAAGTTACTTCAACAAAGTAGAAAGATGTTCTAACGGTTAAAATAGTTACTTCAATAAAGTAGAAAGATGATCTAACAGTTAATCAGCTCTAATGATTACATACAGTAATAACCAAGGAGAAGCAGGATTCAACAGTGTTTCAAAATGATTAAGCAGCCAAATGTTTTACAATGAAAAGCTGACTACAAAAACTGCATTCTTCACGAAGAAGGAGTTGGATGGCCTTTTAATTATACAAATAAGGAATATAAAGGCTTTGGAATAATGCTAGCTAAAAAGATCATTATGTCCTGTTATAAAAATGACTGGACAATGGCTAGATGCTTTTGGGAAAGTTCAAGTCTCAAAAATTTAAAGTTTATACAAAAGGTCTTAAAATGTCCCACACATTACAAGTGACATTTTGTTACAAAAGGAGACCAAAGAAGAGTTATTTCATCCATGCAAGGTCTTACGATGACGTGACCAAGGATGAGGCATTGCTAATGCATATGCTACAATTTAGTTTGAGAGAGTATAATTATTTTGGGTCTGGTAAGATTGGCAGGCGGATCACAAGGTCGGGAGTTGGAGACCAGCCTGGCCAATATGGTGAAACTCCATCTCTACTAAAAAAAAAAAAAAAAAAAAATTAGCCGGGCTTGGTGATGCATGCCTGTAATCCCAGCTACTAGGGAGGCTGAGGCAGGAGAATTGCTTGAACCTAGGAGGCAGAGGTTGCAGTGAGTCGAGATCATGCCACTGCACTCCAGCCTGGGCAACAGAGCAAGACTCTGTCTCAAAAACAAACAAACAAACAAAAAGGTCGGATGCAGTGGCTCATGCCTATAATCCCAGCACTTTGGGAGGCCGAGGCAGGTGGATCACCTGAGGTCAGGAGTTCGAGACCAGCCTGGCCAACATGGTGAGATCCCATCTCTACTAAAAATACACAAAATTAGCTGGGCGTGGTGGTGGGCACCTGTAATCCCAGCTCCTTGGGAGGCTGAGGCAGGAGAATTGCTTGAACCCAGGAGGTGGAGATTGCAGTGAGCCGAGATCACACCATTGCACTCCAGCTTGGGCGACAGAGCAAGACTCTGTAAAAAAAAAAAAAAAAAAAAAGAATAACATAAACCTAGAAATATGTGGAAAATTGGAACCCTCATAAAGTGTTCAAATAAAGATAAGAAAAAAAAATTAAATCTACACAGTTAACATTTTTATAACTGGTTTTGGTATAATGATTGTGACATTCTGGTTATATCTTTTCTGTTTCTTAAAGTGTTTAAAGCATTTAATAGAATCTGACAGTTTAGGTTTGGATATAATGAAACATTAAGATCTGTTTAAATCTGAAGTTAATGTTTAAAAGAGTGGGC